ACACTCTCAAATGCTTCACACTTTTATGCACCAGGCCAAATCCACGTTCAACAGTTTAAGCCAGATATGATTATGAAAAAAAAAATTTCCTGAGATAGTCACCAATGTAGAAAGGAACTACAGATATTTTCAATAAAAGAGTTCAATTACTTTGACCTCTGTACAAGAAAAAAGAGAGCAATGTCAAATGTCTTCACAGGATTTTCCAGCAATCTTTTATGCCAGAGAATTGTAGAATACTTTTAATTGCTCCATTTACTCCTTTTATTCACAAGGAATCAGGCTAAATAAAAACACTTCTAATCTAGACTTTAATAAATTATTTTTTTCTCCTTATGTGCTAGGAGAATTTGCGTTTTGTCAATTATTTTGAGGATTTCTGAGAAACATGTTTATGTTTCTGTTAGTACATTTTTAGTTTTCTTTAGGTAATTGAATGCTGCCCTGATCCCAGCAATTTATTTTATTTTCTCAAAGAGCAGGCATTGTAGAGATTTCTCAGAGGATCTTCACTTCTGGGAATAATTTTCTTCCATTTCATAGTTTAAGTCTTTATCATCCTTGTTGTGTCATGGAACAACATCTATCCCCTTACAAATACTCACTAAATACGTGTGAAATTGATGAACTTTGTTGGATTCTTTCCATCTAGCCAACTGCTTCATTTTGAGAGAAAATCAGTACTTACTCTGTCCACACCAATGAATTGTATATCACCTGTTGTGTAGTTAGTCCTTGTATGTATTGCCCTATGGATATTAAAGGGAAATGACCTTCATTGTAATACTTATTTTAGTATTCTTGATTATCATAACCATTATCATCAGAAGAGTCACAACAGCATTATTTAGAGATGTACACTAGAGGGTGGTGTTTTACCTGGACACTAGACCTATCAATGCATTGGCTTTGAGGAAGAATGAAAATTTTTTCCAGGAAATGTTCCCCACGTTTCATGTTACATAATTCTCAGCACATATGCCCCATTAACAAAGTTGAAAAACCCCAGGGAATGGAAGCAGAGACTGAGTCGCTTGGCGGCCTTGCTATCTGGTTTCTTCAACACATTCCTGTAGGTGTTTGGTTTTCTTGAGCTCCACATGCAGAGTGTCACTTGACAACCAACACTGATCACTGGGTGAGAATATATTTGACTTTTTCTAACTACAAGGAATTGGAAAGCAAATGAGGCAAATAGTGAACATGAGTAAAGCTATTAAACTCATCACTTCAATCTTTAAATCCTCTGAATCATGTAGGTGTACTTCCACGACTGACCTGAGAAGAACAGAAACCATCAATAGTGGAGGGAAAATTTATCTCAGGAAGAGCTCATGTTTCTATGCCCCACCTCCTCTGGTTTTTACTTAGTTCCAAAAAAAAAAAGTTTCCAATCTAGTGCAGCCCAACTTTCATAATATCTTGCATGAGATGATCAAAATGTTGTTATACTTTTTCCCCCTCAGTAAACATTTTAATGTTAATGATAGGTTATGGCTTTGGTTTAACTCATTTTTCTTCTAGCTGTTGCTTTCATCTTTGTGTTTTTCTAATTGACTCTTCTGATATTGGTACAATCTTTGCTCAAATCATGAATTCTATTGTGTTTTCTCATGACAAGTGTCTAACTTTTCATCGACTTTTACCTGAACACGTGAATAAACACATGAAAGGAGGAAAAAAATCTCAAATTTATTGCTTTCAAATTTCCCTCCAAGAGAAAGTTATTCTCCCTATTCTGGCTGTGGAAATCTCCTTATAATGCAAGCAAGTCTGCATCTGATGTTACAGGTTTTCAGACCTATATTCTTTATTATTCTTTACCACTATCTGATTTGGAAAGACTGCTGGAATCAAGATCCCCTGGAATAAATTTAAAACGCACAATTTCATTTGATCAAATTAAAGTTGAATTGATTGGTTCTTGTTAACGTTAAGCCCTGTCTAATACAGCCAAACTCTATACTGAAGCTAGGTACACACTTTCCTTCAAATGTTCCTTCGCATTTAGCTCTGCTGTTTCTGTGCTCCTCTTTCTTCAGTGATACTATAACATCGTAATAATACTTAAACGCTGACACAACAGGAAACCTTGCCAGCTTGGCTGTCAACCTTGGCAAGCTTTTTGTTATAGTTGCAACCGAGCTTACTCCTTGAGTTGCACAAAACTTCCAGAGCTCATCCACAGCATGTCTTATAAAGGGGACTAAAAGGAAAAGTAAGAGAGATGCTAATTTTAGACTGAGAATAGTAAATAGGACAATAAATAAAAGCTCTGTTTTGGCACATTGGAACTTTCTTTTTTTCCCTTTTAAAAGTGTGATTCTTTTTCCCAAATGTTGCACTAGATATATTTTTGAAGGTGTCATCTATTTCCATTCCAGTGCTACGTCATCTATAATTTAAATTTATGAGATAAAACTTGAGGTTCACCAGTGGAGCAGCTGGGGAATTCTAGCCACTTTGCCATGGAAAATGCAGATTTGCTGAGGGTTTTTGTGTCTGACAAGCCCCATTGAAAGTACCTCACTGCCTTTTCTGACAACCATCCATCAACATGTAATATTTATTCTTCTGTTTTAGTTTCACTACAAATAATTGGCGGTCCCTGAGCAAGAAGACAGTTTCCTGCTGAGGCAGCACCACCTGTATAGCTCCACCAAGCTGAGAACAAATGCTCTGAAAAAGAAGATTTTCTAGAACTGATGGACGAAATGAATGAGACATATTTACTAGAAGGAGGGGAAACCGAATTTGCTCCTTTAGTTGCATCATAATTGTTAGTTTTCCAGTCTTCCTTCTGTCACCATCAGAATATCAATGGAATGTTCATACATACATTTTATGGCTGATAAGAAAAATATTCTTGTTGACTTGTCTTCCATCTCATTTCTCCACTTCTCTCTCTCTCTCTCTCGATAGATGGGTAGATATAGATATGTATATATCTGAACATTTAACTTTACAATTATCTTCCCTGGACTCAGTCTATGGGCTTGTATTGATTTCTGTTTTTAAAACCCAGCAAACATGAAAATTTACACCCAACTAAAGCTGTTGTAACAGCAAATTAGATGGGCCATGGCCTTCGTATGATTGTCATGACTTCCAGTTTTCTTATAACCCCCAGACCTAGATTCCCCTTGTTGGGAAAGGAGGTGTCCTTAATGAAATATGTTTCTGTAAAATGTGCATGGTTTACACTCTTAAAGAAGGAGAAAAATATGACTGGTAAATGAAAAAGTAAACAAATAGATATACTGATTATTTTTAAATAATGGACAAACTAGAGAAACAATTCAAATTTACCCTAGTTTCTAATGCAGGAGTTTTCAAACTTTGAGTATCAAAATTGGTATACTATAAACTGTATGTTGCGCTCCATTACTATTAGGCAGTAGAGAAAGAGAATAATCAAATTGTTACCTAGTATTTCCCCCATTTTTAGTGCTAATCTCATGACTATTTTTCAAGATTTGGGTCAAGCATTACTCATATTCTAGTGAGCAAAATGAATGAACAAGTAAAGGAGGAATATTAAAGTACAAACACACCAGTGCCTGCTATAAATACCAGCTTTTGATGAGTGCACAGCAGTGCTCTTGGCCGTTACTTTGCATTCTATGCATTTAATTTAAATGCAACATTAATAAACAACATAAAATCTCAGACACTACATACCAACATTTATGCTGATCACCGTGAATGAGATGGAATTAATGGTTTGTGGACTTTCACAAAAGACTTCATAATTTCTGAGGATTGTGGTGTCAGAGGAAGTCTGAGAACTACCATCCAATGTGCTTCATTTATATTTCTAATAAATTTTCAACCAAAGGAAAATAACCTGATTAAATGAAATATATTTAGTGAAAACACAAGAAACTATGTATTTTATGTCATCATTTTGTTGGCAATTACTTTTTTTTTATGTATCCAAATAATGTGTTTGCAATAAATATTTGCTGATTTTCTTATTGGTCACATGACAAATTAGTAATCAGACTGAGATTAGAATTCTAAGGCATACAAAATTTTAATATATTTATTGAACATTCAAAGGGCACCAAGTGTTATAACAAGGGATTAGGGGCAAATTAAAAATACTCGATGTATGACCTTCCCTCAAGGAAATTATAATCTAAATAAAAGACCTATAACCTGTAAATAATTTACAGACCAATTCAGATATAGTAAAGCTCATATGACTTGGAAATGACAAAAAAGAGCAGGTTAGGGGTTATATTAGAGAGGGATGCTGAATCAGCACATTTGCTGTCACAGATGAATTCTTCCTCTGGACTGGTCTTGGAATCAAAAGCCCTGAGATTCTTATTTGTTCACATCCTAGCTCAGTTCCCTTATTTAATTTACTAACCTTTCCTGAACCTTAAATTCCTTCTTCTATTAGAGATGGCTAATACTACCTACCTCTAAGTGTTTTGTAAGGATGAAGTGGTTGACCAAGTGCTTGGTAAACTGTAAATTGTCATAAACATGTAAGATATCTTTATGATCATCTCTCTGTGCCGGGCAGAGCAGGGAAAAATCTACTTGAGGATCAAGATATCGTAATGATAAAATAATTATACTGATATTTACTGAAAGTGTTTTGTGTGCCAGACACAGTTCTCAGTTCAATGTGTGTTTGATCACTTAATTCTTACAATACCCTTGATTCATAGGTATACATGGCCTAAAAAGATAACAATGCAAATATGAACAATAGGTTAAAAAATAGGTACTATATGCCATTCATCAGTGCCAAACGAGATGTTGAGAAGATGGCACTTGTGAATTCTAAGAGACCATTATGAGCTGTGGAGGTCAGGAATGACTGCATGAAAGGGCTTGGGTATAATCTGAACTTTTAAAGATGGGAATGACTTTGATAATTGAGAGGAAGGAAGAGAGCATTCTCATCCAAGGGAATATAAGAGCATAGCGTGCAAGTGTGGTATGCAGAGAAGGAAATATCTTTCATGACCCATGAAATATACCTGTGCCCTAGATGTAATGTGCGTTAAAAATGACTTTCAATTTCTGTACCTGCAATCAGGGATGCATTTGCTAGTTTGCCTTGCTAGTTGCCAATCACTGGCTATTGATATATGTTTAGCAACTCCACATTTTAATGCTATCTCCCTTGCCTTTCAAGATATTTGAATTTGAGTCCCCTTGCATAAAACAAGAGCAGGTTTAAAATGAAAAAGGGGAAAGTAGAAGATCAAAGGACATCACCTCCTAAGGTTTACAAGTCAAGAGTTGGTGGCTTCAGATACAAAGAGTGCCGTAATAGATACTGTGATAGAAAACAAAAGGATTGTAAAATACGAAATCAAGAGGTCACGAAGACTCCTTGACCCTTTGAGAGGAATAGAAGTAGCTTCCTAAAGTTTTTTAAGTTGTTTGTGGGTGGTGGAATTAGGCTCCGTTTTATAGACGAGCAAACTGAGTTGAGAAGGTTGTGACTTGCCCAAAGTCACACCATTAATAAGAAGTGGCTTTGGGATTGAAATGTTACTTGTTTATCTATCCTGTATCAGGTACCGAGAGTCACTTCCCGTATATTTTCTCCTTAAATCCTCATAATAAGTTTGTGCGTGTGGTATTAAAACTCTCGCTTTTGCAAAGGTTTTTTTTACTACACATTTCAAATTGAGGCCGGGGCCTCTTGATGTCGTGGCACACTCCAATAACCCCGAATTTCAGACCCTAAGGACAGACACTTTTGCTCTTCCGTGTCAGCTGCATCAAAACCTCAGAATCTAAGCAACTCAATGTCACAAGAAACTCACCAACCCTTCATTCTAATGTGCGTGGTTAATATCTCCAGTCAAAGCCGTAGGGCACACTCAACGAGCTTGTGGTGGCAAAACCTCACATACAGCAGATACCAAGGGAAAACTTCAGACATCTCTGGACTCTTACTTTTGTTCAATAATTTAAAGAATATCCATGAAAGATATGTGTAGTCAACTTGCCTGCTTTACATAAGAGAAGTAGGCAGAGACTTCTTGTTCCACACCTGCTTCTGACCAGCCACGGCCTCTCCGGCTTTAGAAAAATGACTCAACTTTTCTCAGGCCTGTGTTGGATCTCTGCAGCAGAAACCTTCTGAATGAAATATATCTCGAAGTTGATAATCCTGCTTCAAATCTACGTGGTGCCTCAAATAGCAGGGTGTCTAGAAATACTAGTCTCTGCTACTAGAGCAGAAATCTTAAAGAGCCATGCAAATTGGATCCACCCGGTCTTTTAACTTGGGCCAATTCTTCCACAGTATGTGCAGATACATTCTGAGTTGACTGCATAATAGAGATAATTATAAGCACTTACTTATCTCACAGGGGTCTACTGAAGATTAATTAGTTAATGTTGGCAGACCAAAGGTGCAATATATGTGCTAAGTATTATTATTATTACTGTGCTACTTATCTTTAAAGAATGTTGTTTCTGAAGTCATAGTGCCTATGTGCCATCTGCTCACAGCAGCCTTTACCATCTCTCTACTCAGAGACTGAATCCGGTGTCTGAATAAATAGATGTGCTCAAAAAAAAAAATCTATCACACCTCCATCTGTGCTTATGGAATATGAATTCAGACATAGGCAGAAATGCAAATCAATCACAAGTTGAGAGGCTTCTCCAGTGCTCAGAGTCACATTTTGAGATGTTGCTCTAATAGTCTTGCTTTTCATTTTAGAATCCGCTAACTCACCATGCGATGCTTCTGTGAAATTCTCTCTTCTGCATCTGAAATAGGGTGTCACGTTAGAGCCCTGAACTGCCTTCTCTTTTGTTCCCAGAAAGTTGAAAGAGAAAACTTCCTCAGAACACATTCACTGCTGATCTTTTATAGAAATTAGCTCCATGATTTTAATGCTTTAGATATTAGTATAATTATCAGAAGCTAATGAGTTTTTAAAGGTTCCTCTATGAAATCATGATTTTGAAACTTTCCCTCCTGCTAGAATTATAACTAGGTTACAGACAACATGATATGATCTATGACCCATTTTTACTAATGACTAGAATGAAGATACAGCTTCTTGTGAATAAATGCTCCTTCTGCACATGACAGCATTGCAATTGTGAACATTCTGAAAATCAGAAAGATTAAAACCTTGAACTAAAATTTCCCAAATGTTTCACAATGTCACTATAGTAATATAAATACCATTCCTTGCCTTTGAAATAGTTATCGGTACCACAATTATCATAGATATTTAATATTCTTCCACAGTAGGTGGCTCAATGGATTTATTTCTCCCTCCATCATCCTACTAGCTCTTCCTCCAATCGGCTGCAGAAAGCAAATTTATCTTCTATCTGAAACTCACCCTACTTGATTCATATATCCATGATAATTCCAGTAATATTTTGTTTAGTTTTATTCACTCATTTCCCATCTATTCCACAGGTATGTTAAGACAGCTTTTCTGGTGGCTGTGGAATTAATCAAGTAGGAAATAAACTCTGGTTCATTAAAGCTTCTGTGACCTATTATATGCATAATCTGATCTCATGGAGGATGCAAGTAATATTTGAATTCAATTCATCTAATCTAAATTATGCATCTACCTTATGAATTGGTTAGGTTTTAGGGATATAAAGAGGAATAAAATACCATGTCTAGCCTCAATTCAAGAAGATAAATCTATGACTAACTATATTAAAATGATAAGTTCCAAACTAGGCAATTTGAGTGAGTCTTGAGAGAGTTCAGAGAAGGGAATGATTCATTCTGTTGACAGTCAGGAAAGAGCGTCTCAGAAGGCTTCAGATGGATGATATTTGAGTTAGGCTGTGAAGGATGAAAACAGCATAGGTAGGTGGAAAAGGGAGGGAAGGCATACTATACTTGCAAGCAGACTGATGCCTCCTCAAACCACGCTGTCCTATCTTGTTAAAAATGAGCTTTGGACATCCTTCACATTTTTGAAAAATTTCTTCTTAGACTCTTGGATCTCACTCCCCTCTCAAATCCCAGGTCTTTGATCTTGTTTTCTGCTGCTGGCTCCGACACTTGAAAATAGACGTGTCTTTCCCGATTTTGAACTTCCACTTGGACAAAGCTTTCACCCCATTTAACAACATACAACACCCCAGATATCACACACTTGATGTCCCTGCAAAGTTCACATTGGCCAACCTAGAGGAAACTTGAATATTTTAAAGCAGAAGCAACAACAGGGAAAAGATATAGACAGCAAAGACCAGGACATGTGTGACAAAAGGCAAGCCGTCTGGTGGGGCCAAAGCTTTCTGTTCCCTCATGCATCAGGACATTTGACAGAATGATGTAGCCAGCTCCATAATAGCAGTGATACTGCGAAATAGCAAAGGTAATCCTACCCCAGCAATGTTTAGCCCATCCCTCAGAAAAAGCTAATTATAGACCAGGTATGCACACAAATAAGCTTAACTCCCTGAACAACCATGACATCATTTCTTCTTAGAGAACATGGTCTAATCTGTCATTACTTGAACCTAGATTCTGCACATTTAGGGGTCCAAGTCTCTCAGGGGATAGCTCTTAAAAACATCTGGGAAAATTAAATATTTTATCAACTTCCTGGTTACTAATTTGTAATCATAGAGTGAACACAAAGGTATTCAGTGGCTCGGATCTTGGGTATTCTAGAGCTTGGTTGCCTTTGCCAAGCTATTCTCTTAGCGATATGATAATGTTCTGTAAGATGAAGGTTTGACGTTTCAGCTAAATTTGCTGATCTTTAACGGTACTTACGTTATTGGATAGACTAAGAGTCTGAAATCCTTGTGTCTCCTCTGGAATAAGAACGTGATGGAGTGGGGCTAGCTCAGAAGGCTCGCAGCATGACAACTTATGCAATGCCTTCTCTGTAGACTAAAAAAGGGAGTCTGGACTCAGGGCTGTAAATTTGGCACTGTCCATGAGTTCTAAATTGACTTTAAAATGAATGAGGTAATGGAATACTCAGACAGAAGGCTCATCCATTATAGAAATACACCTTAAATTGGTCCTTCTTTTGGTAAAGGCTAAGAAGTACTTCAAGTTGAAACTTGGCAAGTTATTTGCTTACCAGGTCTTGCTGGGATTTGAATTAACTGTCACAGTGAAAAAATTTTCCTAGAAACTAAATGAAAAAGCCAACATAAACAAATGTTACAGAAAGCCTTCAAAATTTTCAGAATTAACTATTTGATCTAGTTAGCACCTCTAGTTCTGTTGATAGAGTCCATTTATAACAGCTTTCTATAAGGGGATAAAGAGCGAAATTGAAGCAAATTACCCATATGGCATGGGTCTATCTATTTATGTAATGGAAGAAGAGGCAGAAAACAGAGAGAGGAGAAAATTGGAAGAAAAGAGATAGTGCTAAGGAACAAATAAAATGCTCCTTTAGTAGACCCTAAAAATTCTTGACCAGGTCATTGAAAACAACAACAAATTAAAGACTATTTAAAAAGCTTTCAAATCGCATCCAGCTGGATATAACCCCCAGGCCTCTGTGAGCTTTTCACATTGGTCAGGACCTGCTTAGTGAATTGAGACTCTATTAAGTTGCATGTGGTTTCCATTTTCTTGTTTTTATAGCTTCTTGGAATTTACTTGAGATCTGTTGGGACCTCTAACCATTTTCTGGCTTGAAGATGCTGGCGTAGACAATACTACAAAGATAATCTCTTTTGTATAGCCATCCCATCACACTAAAAGTCCTGGAATCTTTATTCAATGTTAATATGTCATAATTTAATGCTCGCAACTACACTATAAAGCTGTTACCCCTACCTCTATTTTGTCATTCAATAAATTGAGGCTTTTAAATTTTGAATAACTTGCCCAAATAAGTGGTACAGCGAGCTTCATACCCAGACTATCTGAATACAATTCCTGCACTCTTTCCTCTAAGTCACATACATGCTATTAAGTCCTTATAGCTTCATTTATATGTATAAATCCTTTTGCAGTTGCATTATTAGGATTTAAAAAGATTATATTGATCATTGAACATCTCTTTGCCTTCCCCTGACCCCTAGGATTATTTTTGCCTTGAGGGGACAAATATTAAGGTGAGAAATTGTGACATGAAATTTTGTTATCAAACTTTTAATACTTTTGTGAAATATATTGGTCATTGTCAAACCATGAAAATATGAAGTTTATAAAGAGGCTAGGTAATGTCTACTTTAATTTTCAGGTTTTTAATTTTATTTTTTCCTTTTTTTAATATAAAAGGAATGCATTAATGCGCAAAAAATTTCAAACAGTAAAGAAGTTGTAATATAAAAAGGAAGTTGTCCTCCCATCCTTTTTCTCCAGTCCCAATTTGTACTTTAAAGTTTTTTGTGTATATTTTTAAAAAAATGTTTTTATATGTACAAGCAGAAATAAAATAGTTCCTTTTTTAACATTTTATTTTGGTAATATTTCCATTATCAGCTCTATTGCGTCCCTTGCTTTTCACAGCTGCAGAGTATTTCATTTATGGGTGGACTGAAATCAATCTAACCCCTTTAGACCTGCTTGACAATGAGAGATTTTGCAGACTTTTCTTCTAAGTATGCGGCAATGAACATCCTTGTTCTTATTTCTTTGTTTACAGATGCATGTATAAATGCTGGATAAATGCCTCAAAGTGGCATTACTGAGTCAAAGGCTAAGTTAAGTTTATAACTAGATACGTATGGCTAAATTTTCCTTCTATATGTGCCTATTTTCCAGTTCAGTTATGATTTGTAAAAGTAATTATATATGTTTATTATAAGTAAAGAAAACTATCCTATTTAATAGACTTCACAAAATATTAAAAATTTTTCGTATTGTGAGGTGTTAGACATAGAATATTTAAATTTTTATTCAAATTTATTCATCTTTTCTAATGCTGCTTCTGAATGGTTCCTCTTATTTAGAAAGAGTATTTTCATATCAAAACTATTTTTTTACAAACGTAAATTTTTTAGTACTTTTGAAGTCTTATTTTTACATTTAAAATTCTGATACATCTGGAATTTATTGAAGTCTACTCTTAAGGCAATAACCAGCTTTTTAAGTTTTTTGTTTAATGGCTAGCTAGTTGTCCCAATATCATTTATTGAGAAAGCTATCTTTTTCACTGATGAAATACCAACGTTATCATACAGTAAATTCTCATATGTATTTCTTTATTTTTCTTGACTTTTTCTTCCATCCAGTTAATTAACCTGCCTATTCAGACACCAGCACCAAACAATTACGGTAGTATTAAAATATATCTTGCTATCTTACGGAGATATTCTCCTTTACTGCTTTTTATTTTTTCAGAAACTTACTGCCAATTTTCCCATGTTTATTTTTACATAAGAAATTTAGAATCAGCTAGCTCAAGTTCCAAAAATAAGGCTGTTCGTATTTTATTTGGATTGTGTGAAATCTGTAGATTAATTTAGTTTGAACTTACATTTTTACAATACTGAGTCTTTCTGTGCAAGAATAAGTTTTGTCTTTGTTTCTTTTGAAGGCTTTAAAAAATATATCTTTTAGTAGAATTAAACATTTTTTTCATAGAGATCTTTCACATTTGTGATTAACTTCATATCCAAGTATTTCTTCTTCTTTTTTTAAAGATAAGATTCTTATTTCTCTCTATTTTATCGTTGAGTATGTTTGTTTCCAGGAAAACAATTAATTTTCATATATTTATTTATTTGTCTTTGGCTCCCTCAGTAAATATTTCTATTGCTTTTAATTTTAGTTATTTTAAGTTTTCCAGATGTATAATCATCTGAAAAAATGTCTTATCCTTCCCAGCATTTATAGCTCTTATTTTTAAAATTACTTTAAGTTTCTAAAAAATATTTTGAAGTACATCATCTGGTACTTCTAGAACAGTGTTAAATATTTAAATAATAGTGATAATAATAAGCATCTTGTTTGTTGTTACTGAATTTAATAGGGATGCTTCTAATATTTCACTATTATCGTGGATTTTGCTTTGAGTCATATATATCAAACAAATTACAAAATTGTATAAAATACCAATTATCATTTTATTAAGAATTATAAAAATCAAGATTAGATATTAATTTTACCAGATATCTTTTTGCTATCTACAAATAATATGTTTTTTCTTACTTTCTAATATTTTAAAATACATGATAGATTTTACATAAAGATGTTTGTATTTATGTTCCTTGAATAAATCTTTTTTAATTGTGTCCTATCCTTTTAATATTCTGAGATTTCCTCCTCGTGTTTTGTTTTGCGTATAAAAGTAGTATGTTGCTATGGTTTTCCCCCCTTTTTAAATCTGGAGACATAATTTCCAGATTTAGAACATTAATTTTACGCTGGCTTCATAAAAGATGAGTTTGGAAGCTATATGTTTCTATGCTTTCTAGAATATTTGAAATAGCTTTGTAGTTTTCTATTCCTTAGAGGCTGGTTAGAATTCATCACTGAAACTCTTTGGTTTAGGAAGGCCTTGGCTTATTAGGAATAGGGATAAATAAATATTTTTCTCAATTTTTTCCCCCAAGAAAATTGGAAAATTTGCCTTCATCTAATTTGGCTTTTGTTGTCCTTTAGGATCAATTTTGTCATTTCTGTTATCATAATAAAGCATTCATTCCATTCAGTCTTTCAAATTTATTTTCAATGTGTGAATTAAGTATTTTATTATAATTAGTTTTCATTTTCCCTGGATCTGTATTTACTAACAAATTCTAATTTTTTTCTATGTTACTTGTTATATATGATTTCTCCTTATCTTATTTTTCCAAGATCAGTTTATATATACGTAGACACATATATACACACGTGCCCACACAGGCACACATACATTTATTTAGTTTTATATATGTATATAGGTATATCATATATAGTATGTATATATAATATAATTACTAACACATTTAATTTTTCTTTTATTATATCCTTTCTCCCTAATATTATTTTTCAATATTACTTACATACATATATGTATATACATATTTATATATATTAGTATATGCATATATGCCTAATATATATTCAGTTATATATGATACATATTTATGTGTATACACATCAACCAATTAGTGAACCGGATTTTTTTCTCTTTTTCTGTTTTCCAATTTATTAATTTTGCTGTTATCACTAGTAATTGCTTCCTTTTGCTTTCCTTAGTTTCATGTTATTGTTACTTTTCTAATTTGCTTAGTAGAATGGTTAATTTATTTCATCCTTGATGGTTTAGAATGGTAATTATTAAAGCCTATAAATTTTCTTTTGATCATGATCTTAGTCGATTTTCATAGGTTCTGATATAGATATTGACTTGTTATTGTCATTTTCTGGATATTCTACAATTTTGCCATGGCTTTTTTTTTAACTCATGAGTTGCTGAACATGGAACTTCTAAATATTTAAACAGTTGGTATACTAGTTTTTCCTTTTGTGTTATTTTAATTGCAGTGCATTGCATTGTAAGCAGAGAATTTCTCTAAATTAATCTCTTTTTAAAAAATTGCTTTTTCTTTATAACCTAATTTCTATGCTGTTTTGCACATAGAGATTGATATATTTTAAGTATATCTATATACATTTATTTGGTCTATTTGACCAAATGAGCTCAAAGATGTAAGTTAAAAATGTTCTACTACTGTTGTGTATCTTCTATCTTCATTAAAGCACCTATTTCTAACTCTTTTCATGTTCTTTCTCTTCCTTGATTTCAATTCTAATATTAAATCACACGTTTTGCTTTCTTTTTTGTTAGCATTTTCCTGATATGTCTTTGTCTATCCATTTCTCATATTACTTTAAAGCCATCTCATTTTAAAAGTTTGCTTTAAATCCCTATAGGATTAGGCTTTTTTGCTAATCAAGTTAGATAATCTTTTATTCTTATTAGGTTATTTTATTCTAATTACCTTCATTGACGTGAGAAATAAGATTGATCTTAGTACTAAAATCTTATTTATATTTCATGGTTCCTTATTTTCAGTCTTTTGCTGAGCAGCCTGTATTTTATTTTACTTTCTTCTCTTTGTGTGCTTCTTTTTTTCTTGCTACTACTTGGAAAGTTTATTGACTTTTAAGTTCTTCTTGTATCTTTAACATTAGAAAATACATTGAATCTCTACATTAAAAGATAGAATGAGCTCACCTATACTTTTGTTACTCTTGCCTCCCAATATATATTATATTAATTTTGGTTGATTTTTATTTTAACTTTTATCTGTAAAATTTATTTCACAGAATTAGATGATATCTATTGGGATCTTACCTGGGAAATGATTGTACATTCACTTCATCAAGCTTCCCCTTCTCTCATTCCGTCTCCCCAGTTTTGTTGGTTATGTCATTATATAACTGACGAGTAATAATAATACCAGCATTTCTTTGTCATTAGTTATTTTCTGTAAATGAAATCAATGCTCATCATCATTATGTTCTATCTCAAGTTTCCTGGTCTTTATTTTGATTCATCTCTGTCAGGTTGGATTTTGTGACCATATAGTTCTCGAAAGTGCTCATAGGGATTGTATAGCCTGGGCTCTATGAAATGTCTGTCGCCTTAATTATTAAAAGACAATTTGTTGAGGAATAAAAAATTTAGGCCACATTTTCCTTCCCTCAACAATCTACTTTCTATTTTTTTTCTCTAATGGGTTATTTATTTTGTTTGTCTGGGATTAGTTCTTTACACTTAAATGTCAGTAATTGCTCCAGGATATGCTGTGGTGTTGGTTGATCCATATCATTTTTTTTCCTTAAGATAGAATTTATAATTTTAACATACAAATTCAGATCTTTATTATTTCAGTGTTTCAAAGACCTTATTAAGAAACTTTATTTTCTTTTCTTCAGAAATATGAAATACATATCTATATTCACATATATACTCACATATATATAGAATTTATCTCCTTTATCTCTTATGTCTAAACATTTATTTTTTTTCCCATTTAGTCATTTTCTATTTATTCAAGTTGGTCTTCCATGTCCCAGTTGTGTTTTTCGTATCATCTCTACTTCTTTTTGTTTCTTTTAATGTGCCTTTATTACCAAAAAGTTTTTACCTTTAACTTCCATTTCTATTTTTAGTGTCGTTGACTTGCCTTTAATTTTCTTCTGGTGTGTTTTCCTATCCTCCTTGATTGCACATATCTCTTCTTTGAACTCAAAAAAAAAAAAAAAAAGAAACCCCAAACAAACAAACATAAAAATCCAAAACCCAGTTTTCTTTCTTTAAGCAATGATGAAGAAAGTTTTGTTCAAGGCTCTCTACTCTCTTCCATTACATGTGCAATCTTCTGATGCCTAATCCCATGCCAGTCTCCTTCTGATTATTATTCCCTGTTGAACGGGGCAGCACTCTCTGGTTCAGCTCTTTAGTCATGAAGTATTTACAAAGGGGAAGGAGGTTTGGTAAACTAGGGCATATATGCTCAACCTGGACATTTTACTATAAGCTCTGCTGCAACCTCTGTTGTATTGAGATAACTCTACAGAGAGAGCTAGTTTTTCCATTTGTGTTGAACAAAATATCTGCACAGGTCTCACTGATGCCCGATGCAGAGTATTTGTGCAGTGATGTGCCTTGTTCATACAAGAATGGAAATGACCTCAAGGGGAGGCAGCACAGTGTGGTGGTACAGACACAGGCTTTAGAACCAGACGCTTTCCTGAGTTAAATCTTAACCTCACCATTTACTAGCTACATGCTCTTGAAGAAGTGACCTTTCTTCTCTGAGCTGCTCTTCTGTGTCTACCTCATAGACTTGCTGTGAATATCAATGACATAATGTGTTTAGAGCCCTCAGTACATAATAAGCACTCAATCAGATTTCACTAACACTGTTATTGAGACACAGTGACTTAGTGGAGAGGACCTTAGGCTCTGGAGGTAGACTGCTTGGGTTCAAATGCCAGGTCTGCCACTTCCTAGCTGTGTGGCATTGTGCAATTTACTTAACCTTTCTGGGCCTCTCTTTCCCCATATGCAAAAAGGAGATTATATTAATACCAACATTGTAGAGTATTGGGGAGGCTTTAGAACAGTATGTGGCATATCATAGGGGCTCCACAGCTTTCTGGTTAATCATAACACTTTGACCCGCAGGAAAGCTTAATTTGGCATAGAATCAAAGTACATTTTAATCTTGATCCATTAATGAGCATTAAATAATGCCTGAACATATGTACCTCAGGGTGTTTATGACTTGTGAGCATTTACCCCAGTATTTAGTA